GTTATCATACTTTTACAAATAGTCAATAAAAAGATAAATGTTTTTGAAAATGATCGCCACTTACCTTCTCCTCTAGCTTGTACTTCCTGCGATTCAACATTATTAGCTCCGATGATAAATCATTGTAATCCTCAGACAAAACCGACGTGTCAAATCCAGATGACCCTGGAATCGCTCGACAGGATATGTGCGGCAACTTGCTGAGCTCCGGAACCGTTTTTATTTTTGGTTTAAATTTAGAAAATTTCAGCACATCCATTGGTAGGAAGTAAGCAGGACTACTTCGAAAAGTTGTATTAGCCTCCTCCGGTAAGCGCAATCATACCACTAGTATTTTTTGTTTCGATAAGCAAAATATCTTTTTCAGGAAACAAAGTCAAGATCGTGGATGCAGCGATCTGTGTCACTAGAGTGCGTTTACACATTGAAGTCCTAAAGCAATTAGATATTGCTCCACAAACTTTCAGAAATGCCTGTAGTCCCACAAAAAAAAAAATTTCGAAAAATCTACGAAGTTAGCTTATGAATACAATTGCCTACCTGCGGCGTGGTACGAAACAGGCACAGGCTCTTTCGCTACGGCTTATGAAAAATACATAAAATTAGCCGCTCTCGTGGATCTTATTATCAACTATTATAGAAATCCGATACTCAGGATGTGACCGGAATAATCCTTTTCAATCATAATTTGCAAAATTCAGTTAAGAACTCAAAGCTTGTCAGACACCACGCCCTCTAAAGCTGCCCAAGTGGCTGTCAGTTCTTCATGAGCTCTGCTGAACAAAACGACATTTGAAAACAAGAATATTTAAAATCTAACGTACGTGCACTGGGGCTAGTTGGCGTCGTGCTATTTTGCTCCGCCATTTGCTGAGCGTGCTCCTGAATTAGTATCAAAAAAAGTTGCTTCAGCAGATTTTTTTTCTTTGATATCTGATCTCCAAGTGTGCTCTTATCACACGAAAACAGTTTGAAAAAATAGCTCGCGTGTTTTATAACTAGTTTGTTAAGAAATGACACTGGTAGCAACACACGTCGGGAAGGAGAAGCAACAGTGGAGCAGAAAGCAGGCAGCCTGCTTTTCTTGGAGCGTGTACTAAGCCAGCACTATGTTCCGCCTCAGTTTTTACTTTACCCATACATTTCCACTGTTAGAAATTTAGTTAATTAAGAAAAGCATTTCCTGGTTTATCTTTCTAATGAGGAACGCTAAAACCGTCCTTTCCTCCTAGCCTCTTCTGGAAAAATCCTGTCGCAGAATGCTAAGGTAACCTCAACCAGCAGTTGCTCACTGAAACAGGCATAGATGGGCTAATAAAATTTACGAAAATGGCATTCTTAAAAGTCAAAATGTTAAGCAGCCTCTGACAATATGTGCAGGAAAACAAATCATGTAGGCGCTGCCAAAAATCGTGGACTGTAATGCATGTCAATCCATGAAAAATCTACAGTAATATGGGGAAACCAATTGTGACTACTGATGGATCCACTCTTAGAGCTTTCGTTCATCGGTAATGACGTTAAGGTTCGCGTCACAGAGTACTAGGATGTATAGTACTCAGTGACGTGGATCTTAATGTCGTTCCCGAAGAATGCAACGTACCGAAAAACCACTGCAAACATATCACCAAAAGTTGTTTCCTGCTTCATGTAAATTGGTTCGTGGACTACTAAAACCAGAAATATCCGATTCCTTATAATCCTGTTTACTAAATAGTTAAAAACAGCAGTGCATAACAAAATTTCTCAGGCTTGGAACTGCTTAAGTAACATGGAATTCGATGAGGAGAGAGGATCTGCAGCCTAGTGTAGAACAAACCTGTTTCATTCTTTCCAACTGTTCTTGCAGAAACTGCACATATTCTTCAGTGCTTGCCAATTTCTCTTGTAATTTATTATATTCATCCTGAAATATGACCAAGCTGTCAGTAGACTTCAAAATACTGAATGAGAACAATAATCTTAGATCTCCTTTTATCTGCGCAGAACTGATCCCCTTCTTACTGATCAGAAGCCACTCCCTTTGCCGGCGAAGGACTGATTCTTTTTATCTTCTACGGGTTGTTCCTCTTTCTGCTGGTGGGAGACCGATCTCTTTTCACCGTCTTATTAAGACTCAGGAACCAGAGAAGCTAGGAAATTGATATTTTTAAAGGAAGGTCCCCTATCCGCGTGTGCTCTCACAAACTCAAATGCAACGCCCACGCCTAAGCTTCACGTACGGTCTCGCGAAAGTCTTGGTGCCAAAAATAATAGCGCAGAAAACAAGAAGGTAGGAAGCTGAGGACGTCCTTTGCTCGCGCATCACCAATCAAGTTCAAATTCAGCTTCCTTGCATGCCCAGATCTCACGTAGGGCTCGTGATTTTGGACGCCAGAATTAATAACTCGGGGACCAGGAGCGTAGAAGCTTAAATTTCAGGATAATGTTCCTGTCCGCATATAAATCCAGTCCTTGCACACGCCTAATTCTCCAGTATAGATAAGCACTTTCCTTTCCTTTTCAAATATCCTTATTTATCTGTAGTGCGTGTAATGTAAAACACAACAACAGATGATCACGAAATAGTATCATTTTTCAGACGGAGTTTCCCGTTTAAAAAGAAGATGGTTTCGCCACCATCTCGCTTCCCTCTCCAATCTTTCATTCTGGATTTCGCAGCCTAACTGACGATTTTGGCAGAGGGCTTCGGATACAGAACGCTAACTGAGTAATGCTCCAGTCATCAAAAAACCCAATCGTTATTGTAAATTTGAGCTTCATGTGTTCGGCTTTACCTTTTCCGATATCCTACACTGAAGCTGTTTTCGAAACGACCAAAGTAGATTCAAAGACTTTAATCACTGGTTTCTAAATCTGTCACAAAAGTTCATTCCTAATTTCGTAGCTTCAGTCATTTATAACAGAGCGTTCCTCTTTCATCCGAAGTCAGTAGTTAGTTA